GATGTCTTCGGGATCGTAAGGTTGAGATTTAACATTTCCATATAACATTAGCATCATCATGCACGGACAAAATCTTAAGATCTAAATTCTTATTCTAAAAAATATTTTTGTTAATATTTTTTAAATGCCCCTCTCCAATTCTAGAAAATCGCTTTATTTTATTTTTATTTTCTGTCCTTTTATCTTAAAGTCCATAATTAATAAACGATGTTGGGTACATAAATTTTCACTCAGAATAATATTATAATATTTGCAATTTAAATGATCTAGTTTTCTTATAAGAAAATAGTCAATCTGATTTTTACTATATCCATGTTTATAAGTAATTAGATGCTTATTCCTTTTCTTAAATAAGATATTAGCAATTAAAAATCATAAGCTAAATAAAAATCTAAAATGGTCCTGTCACCTTCATTTGTCGTTCTAAACCCATGACTACCATGAATGATTTTAAAATCATCTACCTCTCTACTAATATGTCCATTTAAATCTCTTCCAATAAAAACTCTAGTACATAGGTACTGAAAAAAAGCTACCAAATAATAAGAAAAGTACTGTGGTAAAAAACATTGGTGTATCAAAGTACTATAGCAAAACACTAAGTGTCAAACAACTGGTGCCAAGTCAACAAACATCTTTATTTATAAGAACTTGGTTGTAAGATCCATTACCCGACAACTTTCAAAGGAAAGCAGTAAGTCCGACCTTAGGGGAAAGTTTTAGGTAAAATTGACATAACCGTAACCCCCAATTAAAACACCAACCACTTCTAATAGAAGCTGTAAGTCTGACATCTGAGGGAAATGTTTATGTAATAAGACAACCCTTAACTCCCTCACTCGGGCATTCTAGTCTATAGGGCTTAGTTGTAAGACCCACTACTTAGGCCACTTAGCTTACTGGGCTAAGTTACAAGGCCCATCATCAGACAACTTTTAAGGAATCAATAAGGCCTACCCAACTTAAATCTTCAGGCTACCCTTAGTAGAGGCCATAAGTCCCATTAACTGTGCTACTTTCTAATGAAAGCAAAATGCCCCTATCCAAATTTAATCACAAAGATATTTCTTGGTTAAAAATCAAGGCAAAATTCACAGGAGAATTTCATCTTTAAGTAATGATTTGAAATACATTAATTATGATATTAATCCCATGTTGAAAGTATGTGGAATTTCTATCATAAGATCCTCTATAAAACACACAGAGCAATTAGGCATCATAGTGTATATGATTAGATTGTAAGACCTGCCAACAGTCAATTTTTAAGGGAAGTAATAAGTCCCATATTTAAGAAAAAATTGCTAAATAAATTGAAATGATCCTAAACTACAAACAATCTAATTCAAACCAACAGACATCTTAGTTTAAGAGATTAAGCTGTAAGACCCATTTTTTTTTAGACAACTTTCTAAGGGAAATCATAAGACCTATCAAAATAATTGAAACTTCTTGACAGGTTTGATGTAGAGTTAGGTTGTAAGATCCATCTTTGGGCAACTCATAAATAGAGCAGTAAGCCCCCTTCTAAATCAAATACTTGGGCTACTTTCTACGAAAACCGTAAGTCCCAACTTAAATTTAAATACCTTGACTACTTTCTATGAAAGCCGTAAGTCCCAACCTAAATCCAAACACCTGGGCTACTTTCTAAAGAAGCCATAAGACCCGCTCTATTCCAAACTCTTGGGTTACTTCTAAACGAAGTTATAAATAAAAAAAATCAATTTCTAGTATTCTAATAGATGTAAATCCCAAACCTCAAACAAAGTTAAAACTAAAATTCACATCTAACCACTTCAATATACTCGAGATACTTGAGAGGAGGCAATTTATGGCTGCTAATCAGATTCCTTGGACACTACGATCAATGCCCCCACAATTGAGATTAATTGACATAAAATTTATTCATCCTTAAGTGAGAGTTCTCTCTTACGTGTTAAGAGGGGTAATTAACTATGAGTGCTCATGCTCATGGTAAGTAAGGATCCTAGATCTAATTCAACCCTGACACTACCTTCAAGGGAAATCTGGTTAACTATAATCTGACTTAAGGAAAATGGAATCCTACGGCTGTAAAGTGGGATTCACACGTTCGCGCCATTTTTCTTGAGCAAACATGTACTGAGCTGAAATCTGCTACAGTAATTTCAGATTTTTAACAAGTGCATTTTAATTACGAATCTGCCACTATAATGAATTAATTAGATGTTAATTACTTACTAATGAATAAGTAATGATTTAGGCTACTAAATGAATATAATCAAACTTATGTATATACCCTTGTATATATCCCAATATTCAAAATAAAAACAATAGTATTTAATGAAAACAATTCTGACAGTTTTGTATGTTTACCTTTTTGATGAAATTTCGGGTATTATAGTAATATTGTCATTTCACTTTCACCTTTGATGGGTGCTCAATTCAATGAAGCAAGTGAATCAGTAAAACAAATTTGAACTGCGACATATTATTGATGGATGCTCACTTTCATCTTTATTTGTTTTTTCTAATCTTATTTGCTGCAACAAGCACGTCCTAGTTCTATTTTATGATTTGCAATATTGTATGTGATGAAAAGAGACAATTAAACTGATTTTCATGCTTATGCCCCTTCTATGTGCAACAAGCAGATAAGATACTTCTATATCCCTGAGAATGGCAATTGGGAAAATCCCATGGATAGAAAGATTTTCTTCATCATCAACTTGCACGACGGTGACCTTCATGTTATTTGTTTCTTTTTCCCTAGTTGGAGTTTGGATGTTCTCTTCTTCGACTGTTGTGCCTCTAGTGATTTCTCCTCAAGAAGCTACTAAATCTGAGTCTAAAAAGCAACTTTCTCAGAGTGATTCTAGGCCATTGGAGGATGGCTCTGGCAATGCTTTCACTCAGTCTTATAATTGGGGTGAAACTAGAGCTGATGAATTTGGAGTTGCGAACTCAGAAGGCAGTAAGATAAATGTGGGCGATCAAAGAGATGGTCAGGATAATGTCATAGGAGAAAATGTTGTGTGGAATGCGAGCCATATGGAAGACAAGATCATTGGTCATAAACCCGATGATGGCTTGAACAATCAAGAGCCCAATTCAAGCGTGAATATTAATGATAATGCAAATGGCGAAAAACAAGAAAATGATAAAAAAAAAATTAAGCCAGGGGAATATAATGATGGTTATCGAATGCACAGTGACAAGGACAATGTTCGTACCAAGGATGGAACAAAGGAAGAGGTATTTCCTAATGGTTTCCAGTTAGAACATACCCAGGTTGGGGCATGGTCAACACAAGATACCGAGTCAAGGAACGAGAAGGAACTGCAGGCGTCTTCTTCAATGGGCGAAGTTATCAAATTCAATTGGAAATTATGTAATATTACAGCTGAAGCAGACTACATCCCTTGTCTGGATAATGACGAAGCAATAAAGAGACTGACTACTACAAAGCATTATGAACATCGAGAGAGACATTGCCCTGAGAAGTCCCCAACCTGCCTTGTGCCGCTTCCAAATGGATATAGAAGGCCAATAAAGTGGCCCAACAGCCGAGAGAAGGTATTTTTTGCTTAACTTTTTATGATTAATTTTAATAAAATCAACTGTTGGACTCAGTTTGGTTTCCCAAAGCAGATATGGTACCGCAATGTACCTCATACAAAACTTGTGGAGATGAAGGGCCATCAAAATTGGGTAAAAGTTTCAGGAGAGTATCTGACTTTTCCAGGTGGTGGAACTCAGTTCAAATTTGGTGCTTCTCACTATATTGACGTCATTCAGAAGGTTTACATTTAACCTCTTTGGTTTACTCTAAAGTTTCATATTCTAACAAGATGTTGAAAGTCTTTTTGTGTGTGTGTGTGTATATATATATATAGTTGCACCTTTTATAGTCTTAGTTTATTGGAATGACTCAGCACTACTTTCAACTGTCTATGTACCCTAATCATTAAGGATCAAATCACACGTAGTTTCCAAAAAACGGAAATACTGTTTTGAATTTCTTCCAGAAAGACAGGATATAGAAAATAAGGGTTCAATTGATCGTCAACAAGCAATGGAAATGGAAGAAAATAATTCTTCCAATCCACCTGCTGCCATAATCAGTCCAACCACAACCATGCCATTTACCAAATTTGAAGCCAATACGTACATGAAATTGCATCCCAAAGCAACCTCATGGGGAAGAGAAGTTTCCATATGTTATAAGGAAAGAGACGAACCCCTTATAGACCAAGTGGTAACAACCATAATAATAATGAGACAACAATATAGAATTATATTGGCCACAACAGAAGTCAGGGTAATGAACTGATTGGCCAAAGAATTCCAAGCAAAATTTGGGCACAAGCAAAAGATTATCACGGAGATCAAATTAAAAAAAACACCAACCATAACATTCATGAATCTAAGAAGTCCTGCGCGATGGTTCCCGGCATATCCACAGGGCAACTAGGGAAGCGTTAAACTACCTGCTACCATCAATAGGATAATCTTAGAACCAGAAAACTCCAATTAACTCATTAAAAAGTTTGAATTGCAGCTCAATGCAGCAATCAACTTATTTCTGAATTGGTTGCCCTGAAGGAACCATGAGGCAATATAGTTAACGTTGACCTTTTTTTTTTTTCCAATTTTAATCCTATTTTATAAAAAAATTCTTATAATTAACGTTGACCTAGTCTTTCAGAAGTAGTTCAGATGTCAGAACAAGAATTATGATAAAAGCAAATGATACAGAATGAAGAAAGGTTCAAAGAAAGCGAAGAAATGACACCATATCTAATTCAACAGAGGAAACAAATATCCAAAGGCTAAATGTTGCACCAAAAACACCAAGGCATGTGCAAACAATGGGGGGGCCGGCAGCAGCCCGGAAAACAATAACTGTATTCCGACATGATGTCCAAACTTGCTCCAAAACGTCTCAGGATTCAAATAATTATACGACTACAATAGGAGATCTCCATGCTTATTGGGCCATTATGTTTTTTTATTATTAGTAAATTCTCTTTGGCTTGCCCCTGCCTAGAGGTTATTCATAAATTTATATTTTATTTATTTTTGATTGGTGAATATTCTGTTGTGCTCGACTCTCATTATATCATTCATTATGAGACTATCTTTAGAAATATACTGCATGGCAATCCTACGTTAGTGGAAACATGATGCATATACTGATATGTTCTCCCCAATTGTCTCT